CACACACACACACACACACACACACACACACACACACACACACACACACACACACACACACACACACACACACACACACACACACACACACACACACACACACACACACACACACACACACACACACACACACACACACACACACACACACACACACACACACACACACACACACACACACACACACACACACACACACACACACACACACACACACACACACACACACACACACACACACACACACACACACACACACACACACACACACACACACACACACACACACACACACACACACACACACACACACACACACACACACACACACACACACACACACACACACACACACACACACACACACACACACACACACACACACACACACACACACACACACACACACACTTGATGCGCTACTTCGAAAGTAACTACTTCAAAATTCTCCACGAGTATTTCTTTATGATAACAACCTTGTAAACGCTAGTTCACGTTCGTGTATTAATTATTCGATTTGTATAGTAAAAATGGTATCTTTTTCTGTTAATATCGAACGTTTCAAGGAAGTTTCCTAATATCACGTGGTTTACGTAAAGCGTTGGCATTCTCTAAACTTTAAACAATATATCGTGTTTGACAGCTACATATTTCATGGGAAAGGAGATTACCGTTTGCGTCTGAATGCTTGAAAAACTCTCTTGTTGAAATCTCTATGCTACAGTCGAAATCTCTATGCCACAGTTGCAAGTAAAACTCGCTCCATTGTTACGCGATGAATCCACGTCGATCAGATCGTTTTAAAGCGAAATATTCAAAAGCGTTAATAAAAAGATCGTAACCTATCGCTTCTGCGATCGAAAGTGCTGACAAATTTTGAGGATTATACTAGCGTGATTTATAGAAAAATTATACTCTCGTTCCAGAGACTTCTTTCTTCTTCGGTATCCAGTCTTCCAGTCAATCTAAGAAGACACCGAACTCACATTTGAATTTTAAGCGTTTCTCCAAAGAATCGGAAGCTCGCTCCACAACGACCTCGTTCGTATTAAGGCCAAAAGTTCAGAGATCATCTTTCAATCGTCTCCTTCCAACTACAATTTCCCTATTCTACGTTAATCTCTACCTTAACGCGACTACGCTAATACTAAAATGCGAATCGTATCATCAAAGATAGCAAGGATAAGAAGAACGCTTCGAAGATGTATTTTACCTAATGCGCTACTTCGAAAGTAACTACTTCAAAATTCTCCACGAGTATTTCTTTATGATAACAACCTTGTAAACGCTAGTTCACGTTCGTGTATTAATTATTCGATTTGTATAGTAAAAATGGTATCTTTTTCTGTTAATATCGAACGTTTCAAGGAAGTTTCCTAATATCACGTGGTTTACGTAAAGCGTTGGCATTCTCTAAACTTTAAACAATATATCGTGTTTGACAGCTACATATTTCATGGGAAAGGAGATTACCGTTTGCGTCTGAATGCTTGAAAAACTCTCTTGTTGAAATCTCTATGCTACAGTCGAAATCTCTATGCCACAGTTGCAAGTAAAACTCGCTCCATTGTTACGCGATGAATCCACGTCGATCAGATCGTTTTAAAGCGAAATATTCAAAAGCGTTAATAAAAAGATCGTAACCTATCGCTTCTGCGATCGAAAGTGCTGACAAATTTTGAGGATTATACTAGCGTGATTTATAGAAAAATTATACTCTCGTTCCAGAGACTTCTTTCTTCTTCGGTATCCAGTCTTCCAGTCAATCTAAGAAGACACCGAACTCACATTTGAATTTTAAGCGTTTCTCCAAAGAATCGGAAGCTCGCTCCACAACGACCTCGTTCGTATTAAGGCCAAAAGTTCAGAGATCATCTTTCAATCGTCTCCTTCCAACTACAATTTCCCTATTCTACGTTAATCTCTACCTTAACGCGACTACGCTAATACTAAAATGCGAATCGTATCATCAAAGATAGCAAGGATAAGAAGAACGCTTCGAAGATGTATTTTACCTAATTTTTGACAAGATATTTATGATTTATATAACAGTTAAATTCTGTTCCACGTGGAAGAAATATCGCTACACTAACAGACGAGCAATTAGCTTTCCTGTCAAAGGTCGGTATCTTCTGAAATATATGTGGGGATGGTGTGACGTCAGGGAAGGACGTGGCGTGAGGGGTAATTGTTTATAAACGTTGTCAAGATATGTTAATGTTGTCAAGGAATGATGTGAGTGTTACCAAGGTATGTTAAGGGAAAAATGAGCATAGAAAATGCTGTCAGAGTTGAATTTATCGTGGTCGTGTGGAGTACGTTGTGTTGTTGTGTCATAGAATTAGTGAGAAAACGAATACGCGAAACGCGGTATTATATTCGATTTCGTGTGAACGCAACGATATTGTATTTATCATACTGTTTTCTATTAACTTATAATATAACATCCCTACATATATAGTGAAATTCTATCCTAGCTATGTTACAATTAGATAAGAATTCATTAAAATGGAAGCAAGTTCATCGACACTAACATATATATATACTACACACGTATATCGCTATATTATTTCAATAACAGAAAGTCTCGTTTTATTCTATCCATTTATATTAAATCCGAGCGTAGATCGTATTACATATTTGAAGTATTCTGTACGATATAACGCATAATTTAACATTGAATTTTCTTTTAAAACGAGACCGTGAGACGTTCTCGCCGCTACGGAGTTTTATCTCTGTTCCGTTTTAAATTGCGACATACATTTTTCTGAAACAGAGAAAGGAATAAAGAGGGGAAAACCGACTCGTCTTGCTACCGTTTAACAAAGGCCACGCATTATCAAAGGTTCCTAGGGATGCGGAATTGATCGCTCGTTAGAGAAGCGGTGGTAAGCTGAAATAGCATTTCTACGGTCTGTGATGCGGCAGGTGTTGACGAACAAAGGTGAACGAAGGGATTTTTCCCCTTATTAACGCATAGTCTACCGTTCTGTAGCTGAATAGTTGCATAATATGTATATACATGCATACGTATATAGCAAAGCCGCGAATAGAACGTTTAAAATCATTCTCTTTTTTCCAACTTGAACAAACGCGGATCGGGAACAATGCACTGTACGCGTGTTTTCCCACCTCGTTAAATTTCAATTGGTTTTCCGAGTGATAAAAAAATTGATCGATAGCTCTTCCGAACTTCTTGCGACAAACACGACCTCCGAATTAATCGTTTCTCGAGTACGCGCTGCTTATTAAAATTAGTGCGACTTTCGATCTTACTTTCAGACAAGCCTGTAGTGCGGTTACCTTGTACACTCGTCGTTAGACACCAATATGGTCTATAGACGTACCATATCCACGACGATTCAGTTCGTAATGTTAGAATTAAAATTTATCGATGGATTATCCGACTTGATGACGTATTTTTAGTAATCATAGTATGTATATGTTATCTTCCGAGCAATAAATCGGTATTTCTTACTAATCACAATAGTTGAAGTTTGTTTGTAAATATTGGTTCATCGCGGAGAGGACAGAGGATTTTTACGAATTTTCCGTTTGCACGAACTGACAAGGTATGATCGATGGTGATATATTGTTTTCATTCGCCGGAGGAGATGAAAGGCATATTGACTTTCTTCCAGAAAAATGTCAAAGTGATTTTTTTTTTTTACATTATACGAACTCGTACATTACGCTTAATGACTTTCAATCTTTCGATTACGTCGTTTATTAATTTTTTATTAACCACGCAGCCATCTTGGATTATCGTACGTATTCGTTAAGCGAAATCTCTACCATAATTCAGGCAAGTGATAATCGAACATGGTTTCTCTAAGGCACGATCCATTGGTTGGATTGATTGTACAGCATAAGCTAAATCCCTTAAGACTCATTGTCAGAGTATGCCTGTCATTGCATGCGTCATTGATCACCCTCTCTACTTTAGCAGGGTTCTAGCAATCTTCTATATTCTACGGTGTTAATTCAGGCTCGATCGTAACGCCCTCTCTGTCACGAGAATAATGTTGTATAACGAGTCTTTTAATCATGCAAATACTTTCCGATCCAATCATTTCAGTTAAAGTCAAATGGTCGCGAGGATTCGATAGATGAAAGGGAACTCGTTCATAAACGAGTGAATCTTTATACATTATTGTAGATGTAACGACCTCGTTGCAACTCGATTCCGAGTCACCTATCTGTAAAGATGATTTCATAACGCATTAGACGTAACATGTCTATTCATCGTCGAATGTCTGCCATTCAATGGCGCCGATCAATTTCCAGGAACCGTCAAAGTCGTCGTTCACTCATATTTCTATTTACTATCCGCGCTATACGTACATACGTATGCGATACACGTATCATGTACATGGAAGAAAAATTAATTTTCCATTGTCGACACGTTATTCTGGACTCCCTTCGAATCATATTACAAATTCGATTATCAAATGAACCGACAAGTAAGATGAAAATGGCGGCCTTTCTTTAGGGTGTTAATCGCAAATCGAAAAACAGTAGAAACGATGTACAATTCGAGAAAAACGTCTACGGAAAAATAATAATAAAATACTAAAAGGAAAGAACGAAAGAGCTAAGATTTTTTGAATATCATAACCTCATACATAACATAATTAATTCACTGTATAGATTATCTGTGTTTCGTTTAATAGACATATTGGTCAACGGAAATACAATCGTTCGCAAACGCATCGAACATACACGAAGTATATAATCGCTATATGATCAGCTTTAACCGTTATTGATTTCCTTACAAATGAAATTCCTCGCAAAATTCACTAAACGAAGTCGTAGGCAAATTTTTGTGAGATTCGTTTCGAGAAAATCGCCTGTTTAGAAATTACTGGAAACGACCGTAACGTTTTGCCTCTTGTGATTTGTGAATCTCTTACCGAGAAGGAGGAACAAAGGATAGAACTCTAATAATCTAAAATCATGGAAGCTAAGAAAAAAAAAAACCAAGAAAATTCATTACTCACCGTTGTTGAAGAGGCACGAGACAGGTACAACTTTGGAAATGAAACACAAACAATGACAAGATGCCACCAGCACCACTGATCATCACTCGTTGAATGCATGTCTATCTCGACGGAATCTCACAACACACATTTGCGTAGTACTTTTCAACCTGTTCTTGTTCTACCGGAAAAAATTTCGAACTCGTTCGGAAGAAAACACACGAATGCAAAAAAAGACAAAAGATTCACGAAAGAACGTTGAAATTCGATTCCGTAGCTAACTTCCGATCGATGAAAAATCGATAAACTTGGTGCCAAATGAAATTATTATCGAGAACCAAAACGCGCACGAAAAAGAAACTTTTTTCACTGGTCGATGAAACGTACACGGATAAAGAACATGGCGGTCGTGATCCGTTTACCGGATGACGCGGTGCAGACGATCCTCGATCGATTAGAGGTCGATGGGATTAATTCAGGAATCGGGCACACGAGCCCCTGATCGTCGAGCGAGCATTCGCGCGCGAACACTAAAATTCGGTTGCTCGTTCACGGGTGAAACGCGAGCGTTGCTCGATATTCGCGACGTTTATCGCGACAATGAATAACAGGAGGTTCGATCGGGCAAACTCAAAAGGACGATTTAGTGAGGCAAGATAAAGGCGCGCGCGCGGTACAGTCGCGGAACGTGAGTGCCGCTTCGGATGTCGACTGATCCCGCAGGCTGGTGGAACGCGCACGCCCTCTCTAACGTCGCGCGACTCACCACGACCTCTGGCTCTGGCTTCATCCTCAACTCTGTCGAATAAGTATACTCTGTCACATTAGCTGAAAAATGTTTCTGTAAGTTTTCTAATTATGAAATCTCTTCTCTTTCCTTTCCTTTCGATCTGACTCTGATTCGCCTTTTGCCTTGCACTCTGCACAGATAGAACGCTTACAAGCCCGAAATACGATATACAACGGTCGTCGATTTCATCGTCCATTTGTCCACGCTTCGAAACGATCGATTGTACGAAGCGATACATCGATCGACATTTTAAACAAGTTTCGAAATCGATTCGATCTTTGGTCACAACTATCGTTCGGGATTCAGTATTATTGTCCGCTTCGTGGTGGCTGATTCTTCTTATAAGCTGTGTACTATTTTTTTCCATTTTTCCATTTTTTCAACCGGAACATGGTAACGGATTTTCGTTTCGACAGATTTACGCTCGCGTGCGTATTTTCAAACGCGTTATATAAATATACAGGGTGTTCGGTTACAGGTATCAGAAAATTTAAGGGGTGATTTTCGAGGCCAAAATAAGACGAAAATCAAGAATTAAAAAATTGCATTCTCGGCTTTGTTTTTTAGTTATCGATAATTAAAGATCGCTCAAGATACCTCTGCACGCGAGCAAACTTCCTCACATTCTGTATATTTATAGATGAAGCTTGCGTGTTAATTCTTCACGTGATAAAGATTATTCGTGTGACCCGGTTATAATCTAATAAAGTACACCGAATCCAACATTTCTCCCGATAGAATTTTGACACAAAGGCGTGTACATCTTTCGCCATCTTTAATTACGCGTCTGTGAATCGTCCAAAGTAAAGATATTTATCGACTCATTAGCGAAAGATGTAAGTGTAGCTGTCAAGCGTCTCCTTAAACTTTGTGTTAGTTTGCAGAAAACATTATCGTCGCGTGTTGCATCAAAGATGCCCGATTATCATAGATTCTTGATAAAATATTTTCCATTAAATTCTCACCTAGTTTCTAAATTCGATTCGCGTTAAATTTTTAATTCGTCGAAGCTATCGTAAATGTTTGAAAATATTTCTTTGCCTCTCTTCTTTCTCTTGCTTATTGCTATTCTCTGGTTTCACGTGATCGCGAGATTCAACGAAGACGAGTTTTTCGACAGAAATTCACGGGAAAAACTCACCGACTGTGAAGCGTAGCCATGTTTATATACGTCGCGATCGTGGCGGCAGACAGTTCCACGGTGCTACGTACTTAAGTTGTCGGCGAAACGTTTACAAACAGAAAAAAAAAAAAGAAAAAAATGCAAAGCTAGAGAATATCGAACCCGTACGCAGTTCTCGGAGCATCCTCCACCGCGCCAGTCCTCCTTCTGCTTTACGAGTTACGAGACGCGACAGACGCGACGGCGAGTAAGGAGCCGTGGCAAAGAGAGGTTTCCGGGTACTCCTGTGGGAACAGTAGGGACTCGCGACGTCACGGTTCGACAAGCGAGTACGTAGTCGCTGTTTCCACATCCTTGAGCAGCGCGACTTACTCTTTCGTCGATTTCGTTCGCAAAGTAGGCGCTTCAGACTTCAGACTGAAACGTACTCATTCGCGTGTGCACTACGCACGTGTCAAAGTATCGCGAGACTGGTTTACGTTTCCGACGCTTTTCCACATCGCCGCAACTGCAAATACTTAGGCTGGTGGTAAAACGCTAGTTAAAAAATGATCACGAGGTGTTCGGTGTTTTTGCCACATCGGGTACAGAGGATGAAAACGCGATGTAAATGCCCAGCGTATGAAGCGAGTCTGAGTGAGAATTAAAACGAGTCTCTGTCGGAATCAGAAGAATCCGAAGTCTCGGTAAACGATGAAATCGCGGTACCATTTCGATTTACGAGCGGCGATTCCTCATGAGTTTGAGTCTCGTTCGGTCAATTTGTCTTCGTAAATTGATTCGCCGCGTCTCGTACCGGCCGACTTGCGTGCACGGCATATCGATAAAATACGTCGTTCGATCCACGATAACACCTATTCATCTCAGCTACATCGCTCTGCAAGGATGCACTATTGACAACGTTTGAACCGACGCTTCTTTTCAATTTTAATCAGGTTGTTCAAAATTTCTTAAAATAGTAAGCTTAATCAGTACGAATTTTTTGACGAAAGTATGCCTCGTTGTTTTCGCTATACAAATATTACGCTAAACATTACGCTATGCAAATCATAGCAAGGTAATTTCTTAGGTAAAAAACCAACAGAAACCACAGGTACTAACGAAGTACGGAGATAAAGAATGATCGAGAAAGGAACGTTAAAAGATTATTACTTGTACGCGAAACTCGTTCAAAAGACAGAGTTCCATTGAAATTTAGCGGTCTTCTTAGACTCGTTAACGTCTCCTGTGTATAACTCGAAACTTGGAACTCGCAGCTTGGCATATCCTTCTCTTTTGTTTTCGAAATATAGGACGAGCGCACACGGTAGAGAGAAAGAGAGAGAGAGAGAGAGAGAGAGAGAGAAAGAAACGTCAGAGAGTTAACGTAATTTAGTAAGTATCTTCCGTCTAATAGAATAAAAGCTCAAGAAGCGGCCTACTTGGAGGGCGAAGGATCGCGACACCGGCAGGAATAAAATCCTCCGAAGGCTTTCGTTTTACCTTTTTCCAGTTCAACAGGAAGAATGGAGACTGACAAAAGAGGGAATGGGAGTATCCGTTAGACCATGAAATACGAGTGAGAGGAGTTCGTTCGTCTTAAAAGCTACGCTGTAAGCTATGGTCCATATGAAAATCTCAATAATACCGTCTCACGCTGTAATTGGGCAACCGAGCATTCGAAGCTCGGAAATTGCCTACAAATTACCGGAAATATGGACCGATCTTACGCTTCGACGATGCTGCACCATTTTCCGTACCTTATTATGAAAGTCCCGTCCAACTCCGGTTCCACGTTCATCGCGTTGTATCTCCGAGGTAAAAGATTTTCTCCACTTGTTTCTTACGCGCGTTGAATATTACTGTCCAACGAAAGACATTACGCGATTCGTCGTTTACTCGTGCATGTTGAATTAGAGAGATTCAACGACAAGTAAGTGCGTGTGTGACTGAAAAAATTGAATCAACGTATCGTAAACGATGCTTTGTAAGATGGCTCGTAATATGAATGGCGGAGGGCCGTGGCAATCGTTTCTTTTTTCCGATTTTTTTTTTTCGATTTTCTGTTGCTTTGTTACGTTGATAACGGCCAGTTTTTGAAGAATAAAATTGGAAATAAAGACGTGCCTTCTTCGGATAGAAATTAATCGAACGAAATAATTATCAGATCAAAGACAGAAATTATTATATCTTATAATCTTTTTATAATTTAGGACATGGATGAAATTATTTAGGATTCTTTAATTAATTTAATTCAGCGGAACGAACGAGAGAGGAAAGTAATATCGATTCGGTTGTCGTTTTAGATGATCTTTGACGCAGACATCATGAAATGGACTAATAATCTAACTCGTGTAATAGTTATTCCCTTGAGAAATTAATTCTATAAATATCGTTGAATGAATTTAAAAAAAAATCGTATAATTGACACGTTAGGATGAAACAATTGATTAACGAGTATGGGTACGGTGAGTGGACAAAAATCAGACTTTGCATATGATGAAGTATATGTACGTAGGTATACGTATTTCTTGAATGGCTTCGACGATGCATGCTAAATGCTAACAGACCGAATATGCCAGCTAACTAATTGTTTCGCGCGCTTTTTGATCGACTTCAGACAGACACACATTCACACGCACACAAACGTACCGACGTTTCGCCTTTTCGGTAACAATCATAAGCGCGCGGCTCGCGCTTTATTATCGCGGAGCGTAAATTGCAGAGTAGACTTCACTAAATGAACATTATATAAAAGAACGGTTGCAGTGGCAGCATCAAAGTACCCTACGTTCGCCTCTATCGTCTACGCTCTAGAATAAATCGCGACACAAAAGACAATTGAAAGTACAAACCTATTCTGTTCTCGAGAGTCTGGTCGATAAACGAAAAGGCAAACTATAAACTAGAATGTAGGACTTCTTTCGTTTATAAGTTTAGGTAAATGTGACGAAGAAGAAGGTGTGGAAGCTTTTTAGAACCTGCGAAAAAGTGCGTCTATGCTTCTAAACGAAATGGATTTCTGACATCAGACGAAATCGAGTCTGCGGAGTAAACGAAGTAAGTTGATAATTGCAAAGGACGTATATGCAACTTGTGTTTTGTTTCTTATCAATCGGATACTCTGAACACGATTGATTTTTATGTGGAAACGGATCTCTTCGAATGGAAACGAATAGCGAGACTCGATTGATCAAGGGCTCGATGCTTTCTCTCTCTTTCTTTTTTTTACCGGTAACAGTGTTGGTATTTGCGTGTGCATGCGTGACGTGCATGCGTGACGTGCATGCACACGCACGTCACGACGCCGAGAAATTGTGGCTACGGTATCAGACATTCGACTGTGCCTCCAGAGCGCAGGTTTGCAAAAGTTTCGACACGACCTGCTGATTTTGCTTCCGCTGACCAACACGCCCTGTAGTTCCACTTTCGGAAACCAGCGTGGGTTAGGAGTATACGTTGGTAACAATCCAGAGCGATTTATCGGTGACGTTCGTTGGGCCAAAAATCATTCGGCGCTAGAACGCTCCTCATGTTCATGCGAACTTTTCGCAATTCGCAATTGTTTCCCGTTGATTGTCCGACGTACGCGAATCTACGCACGAACATCGCGCTTCACCACGTTTCACCTTTCATTTCCATTCACGTATCTTACGAACCTGTCAGTGATACGTAGAATTCCATCGCGATCAATAATCCATTTATATGTACAGAAAACGAAGCAAAGTATCGGGCGTTCTTTTATTTCCGATTTGAGTTTCTCAGGATTCGGTTGTATTTAATCCCTTAACGATCTAATAAAATTAC